GTCTATTCCCAAAAAGAAAAAAAATTATGTTAAAAATAAATAAATTTACCTTGTAAATTTATAGCAAAAGGAAACAAATCCACGAAATCCTAATAAATCTCTCAAAGTAAAGTAAATTTTTGGATAAATAGAAATTTTTTTATTACAAACTAATTTAGTCGAAAATATGTGATTGAAAAGAAATAAATCTATAACAAACTAATTAAATGTATTAAAATTAAGTAAATTCATAACCAAAAAAAAATATATATATGTTGAAAGCTAATTAAGTTAATCAGATTTAATTAAATCTATGGTTAAAAGGAAAAAAATCTATCAAATAAGTCGGTGGGATCTATATATATATATTCATGTAAGTTTATGCTTTGAAGAAAAAAACAAAAAAAAGTTAAAAGATGGAACCAATAGAGAAAAAACGAAAGCTTACCACATCAGAAATCGCAAGTCACTCACTCTCAACGTTGGATATGAATACGACGAAGATAAAAGTTGATGTGAGAGAAGCCATGAAGAAGCAAAACGAGGTCGCTATGTTCCTTACGGAGAAAGTAATCTCTGCCGTAGCAAGAAACACTAATTTCGTCTTCTCTCCGGCATCAATCAACGTCGCTCTCACCATGGTCGCGTCTAGCTCTGAAGACGAAAGAGTAAGATCCTTGATCTTGTCCGTCCTTAGGTCTTCCTCTATCGATGAGCTCAAAGCCGTTTTCCCTGAGGTGGCTACCATCGTCCTCGTGGATGGAAGCGAGAGCGGTGGCCCTAAGATCTCGGCGGTTAATGGAGTGTGGATAGAGCAATCTTTATCAGTTGAACCCTCGTTGAAGGATCTCTTTGAGAATTTCTTCAAGGCTGCTTTTGCTCTAGTTGATTTCCAATTCAAGGTTAGTTTCTAACATCTTTTCGATTTTTAAACAATTTGCTTTGATTAGTAGTCGTACAGTTTCGTTGTTTGTTATGCAGTCAACCATGACTAAATCTTGTTAGCATGTAAACAATTCTGGTGACAAAAGGGACTAAACAATTTAATCACGGTTGCAAACACGTTTTAATCTCTACAACATAATCTTAATCGTTCTCGCTGCGACTAGGAGATGGACATCATTAGCACAAGAGCTCTCTTTCATACCATTTTCTTATAAATTAGGTTTATTTTGAAACAGGGTGAACAAGTGCGTGAGAAGGTGAATTCATGGGCTTCAAATCACACCAATGGTCTCATCAAAGAAATTCTTCCTCCTGGATCCGTTACGAAAGACACCACTTATATTTATGGAAACGCATTGTATTTCAAGGGAGCTTGGGAAAACAAATTCAATAAGTCTTTGACAGAAGACAAAGAGTTTCACCTTCTCAATGGCGCCTCAGTCTCTGTACCATTCATGTGCAAGAGTTATTATTCGAAGCAGTACATAGCGGATTATGACGATTTCAAGGTCCTTAAGCTCCCATTTCGACAAAGCGATGACATCAATCGTCAATTCTCAATGTATTTCTATCTCACGGACGCTACTGATGGATTGAATAATCTTGTGAAGAGAATGGCGTCCACTGCTGGATTCTTGGATAGTCACATTCCAGACAAAAAGGTTGATGTTGGAGAATTCAAAATCCCAAAGTTTAAGATCGAATTCGGGTTTGAGGCATCAAAGGCTTTTGACGAATTCAGGGAGGTCGGACTTTCATTGCACCATAAAGCTTGTGTCGAGATAGATGAAGACGGTGCAAAAGCTGTGGCTGCCAGTGTTGCACGTCGTAGTATTGGTGGTATGTGTCGTGCCATGAAGAGGATAGATTTTGTGGCGGATCATCCATTTCTTTTTTCGATCATAGAAGACAAAACTGGAACTGTTTTCTTCGTTGGTCAAATCTTTGATCCTTCTGAGTAAAGTTTGGTATTATTTAAAGATTTGGATACTAATAAATAGCCGTGATTGGTTTGTAGCTGTTGATTTTAGATATCTCTAAAATATTAAAACATAAATTTGTTTAGCAAAATGTTTGAAATTATCATGTTATATTACTGAAATTACCATTGTAAAAAAATTTAATTCGTAAACAAATCGATTAATTGTAGAGGGTAAATTCGTTACCTTGATCACAATTGATCCAAGAAAAAACATGCGTATCCTATCTAACCCGGTTCTTGATCACAACATTTTCTCTATTCTCCTTGTGCCACCTCATTATTGACATGTATGCCTTA